ATATCTGAAAATAGTGCAGATTTTTAAATACGAGGTCAGTGGCAATTTCGTAATTAATCTGAAAAATCTAGTAACCCAATTCTTAGTAAAATGACCATAAACTCCTCATACAATGTCCAAATTCGACGATTCTTTTTGTTATGGCTCCGTAATTATGATACGGATCTTATGCTTCAATCAAAACAGAAATCGAAGCTCATTTGTTTAATATGGTACCATTTATGCTTGAAGAAACGACGTCGAAACACAAGAAAAATGAGCGCAATACAACCCAAACGTATCCGAAACTCACCCGAGCCCCTCGGGACCCCGTACGAACATACCAACAAGTTCCATAATATAGCACGGACCTACTCGATGCCTCAAATCACGCATAACAATATCGAAACGACGAAACACACCTCAAATCAAACTTAATGAATTTTCGAACTTTCGACTTCCAAAAACTCGTGTTGAAACATATCAAATCAACTCGGAATGAACTTAAATTTTGCACACAAGTCCTAATACATCATGCGGAGATACTCGGACCCTAAAACTACCGAGCCAAGTGCAAATGCTCAAAACGACAGGTCGGGTCGTTACAGTATGAGTATCCTATGACCTGCTAATGCTTCGATCTTTAACATACGGGATATTTTCTTTCACCCTCTTGTTATTTATGATGTGCATTGGGGATAATGCACAATTTTAAGTGTGGGGTGAGTAGTTATTTGGATGATTTTGTGGGCTTTTAGTTTGCTAGTTTATTTGAAAAACAAGAATACTGGAAATCGAGAAAAATAATTAGATAGAAATTATCCCCCCTAATATTTCTTATGGTCACGATTCATTTTCAAGGGATGACTCTTTGAACCGGGTAGTAGTTTTTTTCTTATTATAAAAAATTGCCAAACTTTTTTCTTTTTCTGACGATGGACTTCTTTGACAGTTTTCTTGAGAGATTACAGTCTAAAGAAAAATGTAAAATGATTTTCCTTTTTCATTCTTTTGTAGAATTGATAATGAATGGAAGAACTTGAGTGTCTATGCTTTTTGACATGTTTTATGCCAAGACTTAGAGCTGTAACATTTATGCTGATTATCTTCTTCGTGTTCTATGTGCCCACATGCCTTGAGAACATTTGAGTTTTATTGCTTGAAAAAGGGTACACATTTAGGTAGTTGTTGAACAATATCACTCCTATAGAATGTGAGAGATTAGAAATAACGAAACCTTGGTACAATCGTAGTGAGCGGTGAATTATTGCCAGCTAGCGTAGTTCGAAAGAATATATGTCTCGTAAATTGTGGTAGTTGCTTGAAAGAGAATTAAGACACCTGAAATACTCACAATGGTAGAGAATAATTAGGCGAAATTATAGAAGATGTAGCGGGGAGGATTCCGACAATTGTAGAAATCATAACTCTAGACCTCCTTAATTTAGTGTCCAACCCTTAGTATCTTTAGTTGTTAATTTACTACTTTAATTTGATGGTTAATTAGTTATATACAAGAATCTAAATCTTTATAACTTAGAAATTGATCGAGTTTGCCTTCTTAGTGATATTGACGTAGTTCTTTGTGGGATTCGAAGGATTCTTACACCGGATTATATTACTTGCATGGCCATGAGCAGGGAAAGGGATACGTTACGTCTCCTTTTTAATAAGATTTGTGTTTGTTAGTCAGATGCTAAATTAGTTGGTGCCACAGTTTGACTTGCATGACTGCCACCAGTTTCAGCTACAATCAAAATCTCAGTTTGGATTCCTTCAAGATCTTCAACCATCAAGTCGCATTGACCTCCATGTCTGACGTCACATGTCCAATCCAGCTCCCCATAAAAGTAAGAAAATATCAGCCTGGACTAAGCAATAAGAAATTAGAGGGGCTGGAACGAAATAGTCTCGTGCATACGAAAGTTGCAGTTAAATTTAAATCTTCTGGGGTTTGTTTCTTTTTCTTTTTCCCAGAAACGCTATGGTTGATATCTCAGTAGTTAAAGTCGACGCCTATCGTTACATTTCTAAATTCTCGGGGCCATTGATGAACTATAAAGCTTTATTGAACTTATACTTTAAAAAGTTAAGAAAATTACACTATTGTGCAATTCAATGTTTTCAACCTGTTTGTGCCTGCTTTATTGTCCAACTAATTCACTTACACATTAACAAGGTAAATTTTTTTTACACTACTGTATAATTTAATATGTCGTAACAGTTTTTTCTACTTTATTTTGCAAGTAGCTAATTTCATTTATTATGGATCGTTATCTTTATGTGACATTTTATATTATCAGTATATAGAAATTAAACATCAAAAAATTACTCCTCCGTTTTAATTTAGATGAGGTAGTTTGACTCGATATGGAGTTTAAAAAAATAGAATACTTTTAAAACTTGTGGTCTTAAAAGCTTTGCGGGATCATGCCATTTGTGTGGTTATAAAAGCTTCTCATTATGGCTAAAACCGGTAAAATGAATAGTTTAAAGTTGAATTATTTCTAAATTTAGAAATGTGTCATTTATTTCGGAAAAGTAACTCATCTAATTTGAAACGGAAGGAATTAGAGTACGTGTGACATAAAGCACATTAACATTAGGCGCTTTCAGAAATTAAACAAGAAAAAGGAATTAAGTCCACAAAAAGAAACTAAAAGAGAAAAAAGAGGGGCAATGAATTTCTGCAGACATTGCAAAGCCCCATGTGCAAGTCTATGACGATGTACCTGTAAAGCGTCAACAACAGACACCTCAGTAAAACAAAGAAAACCCTACAACTTCATTACTTTATATGGAAACCATGAATAAAGGAGCTAAGTTACTCTCCATGTACTTATGCGCCTGTTATTGCACCCACCAAATTCCTTCTGAGTTCCCTTCTGTACGTTGCCACTTCACTTCATTAATCCGCGTGAGAGGAGCTAGCAACTTTTTTCTAGACTTGCCAAAAGGAAGCCATAGTCTTGATCAATAACCCATCCAATTATAGAATAAGCCTTGTTGGGGGTATCAATAAATTTCCACCATATTTAGTTACATTCTCAATACCTATGCAAGAACCCACTTAAGTCAAAAGCTGTGTTCCATCAATTTATCTTTTTAAAGAATTGAACAAGACACTGTACTGAAAGAGAGCAGTCGCCGTGTATTCTGCAAGAACCTTCGGTATTAACTTGTGATGATGATTGGACTTTTGAATATTCTGATCGATAATTTCTTTTTTTTTTAATGATTTTGTAGGGGTTGTGATGAATAGGTGTTGTAGGTTGGTTAGTTGGCTGGCTTCTTTCTTAGCAATCCACTGTCATTTTATAGCTTTTGTAGTGCATATTTTTAATATTGCATACATGCAAATGTAAAAACAAAACACGCGGAAATAATGCCAAAAATACATGTCCCTCCGTTTCTATTTATGTAAATTTATTTTCTTTTTAGTATGTGCCAAAACGAATGACCTCACCCCATATTTTAAAATAATTTACCTTTAGACAATAATTTATAGTCACACAAATATATGTGCATCATTTTACACTGCAAGTTCAAAAGTCTTCTTTTACTGTGTCCGGTCAAATAAGTTCATATAAATTGAAATAGAGAGAGTATAATAGCATGTTTAACCAAGCTTCAAAAGTCAATTTATTTTGAAAAGTATTTTTTTTCCAAAAGTGCTTTTTACAAAAGTACTTTCGGTGAGAAATAATTTAAGCAGCAATTATTGTTTGGCCAATCTTTCAAAATATATATTTTTTTCAAGAGTGCTTTTAAATAATGTCAGTGATTTCTTTCGCCCTCCGACTCCAACCCCTACCCACAATACTTCCCCACGCTTTTTAGTCCAAGAAAAGGTTTTTCTTTCCGTCCCATTTGCTAGTAGTCTTCTAAAGGAAATTTGCCTACAGTTATACAACAAGGACGTGCCAAAATGTCCAAGGTGAAAATCGGAAACAAAAATTTATCTCATTTGGTTTGGTGGTAAAGAACATGGAATCAGTGGCTGGGGGAGTGATTTGTTTCCGATGAGATAGAGTGATGGCCATGGGGGTGGGTAAGGTGGTTTGTGGTGATGAAGAATATTAAATTATTAAGGAATTTTAATGATTAATTAGTGTATAAATAAGAAAGAAAAAGGAGAATTTGTGAGTAAACAAAAACGAAGGAAAAAAATGAAACTTAAAATTTAGAAGATTTTTGACATGTAGCTGACGTGGCGCTATCGTGATGTAAAGCACCTCACTGTGCGACGATAAATACTTGCCCACATCGGGTGTTTACACCAAACTATATTAACTCACTATGGTTAATTAATTTAATTAGATGAGAACGCATATAATTTACCATGGTTAAATGATTGAAGTCCATATGCAAGACACATGTCATGTATCTATTGGTTTGGTGTAAACACCCGGTGTGGGTAAATTTTTACCCAGTGCAACACTGATATTATATTCTCATGTGCCATTAGTTCCATTTTAAATTAGAATGGGGGAGAAGGGGTTTGGAGTGTGTGTGGGGGTGGGGGGGGGGGGGGAGGGGAGTAAATAGATCACTTGTATAGTTAAAATATGTAGTTATGTATTTGAGTCAAGTTTAGGGTACAACTTATATATTTTTCCTTTTACTTTTGGTAGTTTAGGAGGGAGGCGATGGTTTGCGTTATAATGAAGTGATTGATCAAGTTCTTCTAATGAAGACTCGAATGTTTGCCCCATAACTTTGATGGGAAATTAATTACACGCATAAGAAATTAGAGGTTCGTAATTGGACAATCCCCGGACATAGCGGGAGCTTAATGCACGCTGCCCTTTTTTTTTGATTGGACAATCCAAAAAAATAATAAAAGGGAAAAAGAAGGCCATTTCCTTGTGATATGGTTCGCAAAATCTTATCTAACGGAGACAATAAATTATATTGATAATAAGTGAAACACATAAAAGATCTGAATGTCTTCCCCAATCATCATACTAATAACAGTATGATGAGATGAAAAGAGAGAGATTAGTCATGTGTCTTGTTTCCTAAATTAAACCTAGTGTAACTAATTGCTTGGCTGGTGGATCACCAATAGCTAGCCTGAGTTCAAGATCAATATCCTCCATGGAACTGGTCCTGATTCCCACTTTATAATCTGAAGTAGTGAAACTATATTTTTCATGACTGGAACATGGTTCATGGAGCATAGGCAATGATGAAACCATGCAGCTTTTTTGTCTCTTTGAAGCTGATACGCCTACTGACGAAGAATTTGCATCATCATCCAACAAAATAAACTTTTTTCCAGCACCCTTTAATTTTTTATCACCGTATCTATTAAAATCTTGCTTAGTACTGGAAGATGATGACATGATCTTTTGACCAGCTGCTAATTCCTTGATTTCAGGAGAATAAGCAAGATGGGAGAATTTTGAATTTCCCTGAGAAAATACGGCAGAAGAAAGAGTTGATGCACTTTTCGAATTTCTAGCTGGGGATTGTCTCTGAGGCTTTGAAAGACTTTGCGAAGGAGCTTCGTTTTGTGGGTTAAGGGATTGCTTGAGTCTTGCTCTATCCCTTCTGTGGACATTCATGTGACCACCTAAAGCTTGAGCAGACCTGAATTCTCTCTTACAAAAGCTACATGAATAACATCTTGGAGGCCATATAAAGCCAGCTCCCAGAGGAATTGTTTTGCTCTTCATCCATATTGAGTACTGTGATGAATATTCATCCATTTTACTTACTTGTTTAGGGGATTAAGGAGAAGATATTGAAAGCATATTACATTCCATGCGATATAAATATTACTCCAATAGTTATATATATAATGGACACTAGTATTGGAGTAATTAAAGGGGTGATGGTGAATATACAAGTTCAAATTGAATGCATTAAAGCTACTGACGGATGTCTAGGAGGATTGATTGGATTATTAGAAGAAAGACAAGAATATATACTAGAGATAAAAAGCTTAGATATTTTTATTTGAAAAGAAAATACTGATGAAAAGTCTTCTTTAATTTCCTGGTATTAGAAGGTTCAGTCTAATAGCTACATCATTTTGGCCTTTCTAGTGTTTTGGAATTTTGCCTGCTTTCTGGATATCTCTTAATGAATTACTGATACTTATTTTGGCAATTCCTCAATGGGGTCATTTGATGGTCAGTTCATGAGACTATCGTACATTTGGAACTCCTACAGGATATAGATATGCATTCTTCCTCAAGAAAGCAAAAGGGTATTGAAAAAAAAAAGGACAAATTACTTAAACTTGTTTTGAGTTCTTGCTTAATCGTACTGATTGACTGATTAAGTCAATGTACAAAAAAATTTGAGTCAATAACTCAAATGGTCACTCGATTATTAGAAATTATGTAGTAAAGTCATATTTATGTTGTTGTAACACAAAAGTTACTTAACTATGCCTATAACAATTAAAAAGTAGGGAAAACTACCCTATATACCTACATAATTAAAAGTAATTACCCGTAATTACCCATTTAAAAATAATTACATCAAATAGCAATTCTATTACAACTAATTAACCGCCTAGCCTAATACATAATTAGCTTTCCTTTGTTATCAACCCATCAATTCTCGCTGCTGCCGCCACCATTTCTCAAGGAGAAGCAACAAACACTTTTAAGAAGTTTCAAAACTAATTTTCCTCTTTTACTCCATGAAAAATCACAATTCCCATTCGGAAGTTCAATCACAAAAGAGATAGCATTTGTATGTTGTTTGTATTGTACCTTTTTCTTGCTGTCATCACCCACTTTTCCATTTGTGCTCCATAATTCATTTTATCTCCTAAAAGTAAAACAAAAAATATTATGTACTATCTAACTAAGAATTAAATTTTCATGTGTGTTTGAAGTGTTTGCTGTTGGAGTTTATTGGTATTGTTCTTTGATGTGTAGATTATGATGTTAATGCTAATTTGATCCGATTCTGATCGGGTATGTTCGAAATGTTAATTGAAGGACGTGGCTATATTCCGAGTCAATTTGGTGGAGAGTTTAGAGTAGATTTTTAAATTTTGGGTTGAAATAGAGTTGAACTAGCAAAGAAGACAGATTTGTATAGTATACCAAAATGGTATATTGTATACTGTATTGCTATATAATAATTAATTCAAGAGTATATAATTAACTACAATAGTATACTACTAATTTTTTTATGTACTATTCTAGTAGCCGGTGTACTCGTGACACCACGTTTAGGGATTTGTGATAGATGTTTGGCTGGTTTAGCTTCCGCATTAACACTTTAGATTATTTCAGTTATTTCAGTTCTCTCTTGATTTTATCATTTAAACTGTTAAAAGAAATAAATTGTTCTAATGTTGGCTTGCCTAGCGAGTGTAATGTTAGGCGCCATCACGGTCCCAACAATGGGTATTCCGGGTCGTGACAAGTTGGTATCAGAGCCCTAGGTTACATAAGTCTCACGAGTCACGAGCAAACTTAGTATAGTCTGGAGGATCGGTACGGAGACGTCTGTACTTATCTTCCAGAGGCTATGGAGTTAGGAACAGTTTCACTTTTATTTTTCTCTATCGTGCGATTTATATTCTATCATTGCTGATTGAATCCTTCTATTCTGTTCTCTCGCAAATGGAGAGAACACCCACTGCAGCTGAGTAGTACCCAAAGCCCCAGTGGCAGCTCCTACAAGGGGCAGAGGTGGAGGCCGAGGCCGTGCCAGAGGCCGAGGCTGAGGCAGGGCTCGGCCTAGAGCTCGAGCAGCATCATTAGCAGTGGAGCCTCAGGTAGAGTTTGACGAGGAGGCTCCAGCTCAGACTGTTCCTGCCGGACCAGCTTAGGTCCTGGAGGGGTTCATTGCCACCCCTGTTCTTTAGGATGCCTTGGTCCGTTTAGTAGGCCTTATGGAGAGTGTGGCTCAGGCTAGTACATTTCCTGTGGCACCAACCGTTTCTCAGGCTAGGGGAGGAGCACCGACTCCCGCTACTCACACTTCGGAGCAGATGGCTTCCCAGTTTCAGACTCCAGCAGCCCAGCCAGTTGGGGTAGTTAGGCCAGGCGTTGCGGCACAGGCTGGTGATGGATCAACTATGTCTTTCGAGGCTTTATGGAGATTGGATTGGTTTACTAAGCTCTTTCTAGTTCACTTCAGCGGTGCATCGTCAGAGGACCCCCAGGACTATCTTGACAATTATCATGAGGTGCTATAGAACATGGGGATAGTGGAGACCAATGTGATCGAGTGTGCTACATTTCGGTTGTCGGGTTCCGCCAAGAAATGATGGAGGGATTATATGTTGACCAGACCAGTTGGGTCACCTTCTCTTACTTGGGACCAGTTCTCTCAGCTATTTCTTGAGAAGTTCCTTCCTGTCACTTAGAGAGAGAGAGCTACCGCAGGCAGTTCGAGCGCCTTCAGCAGGGTGGTATGACCGTCACCCAGTTTGAGACCCGCTTTGTAGACTTAGCCCGTCATGCTATTCTTTTGCTTCCTACCGAGAGAGAGAGAGAGAGAGAGAGAGAGAGAGAGAGAGAGAGAGAGAGAGAGAGAGAGAGAGAGAGGAGGTTTATTGAGGGAATCGCTCATCCTATCAAGTTGCAGATGGCCAAGGAAACAGAAGTAAGATTTTTTTTCACACGGCTGCCAATGTCGCTAGGCGGATCGAGGATGTTATTTCATAGGAGAGAGGGCAAGGGTTAGATAAGAGGCCTAGTCATTCTGGTGGTTTTAGTAGTGCCTCATCTGGAGGCAAGGGTACTTTTGGTAGGTTCCATCCTCCAAGACCATATCAGTCAGCACTTCAGGCATCCTATAGAGCTTCAAGGAGTCGTGGTCCTTATGTGCCTCATTCTAGGAAACCAGCCTACAGTGCACTGCCAGCTCCTATCAGTGTACCTCTTATTCAGAGTTACTACTGTGGTCATCTAGCTCGTTCGGGCAAGTCTTAGTTTCAACAGCCATAGTACCAGGATGGGTGTTATGAGTGCGGTGGTTTTGGGCATATCAGGAGGACTTGTCCGAGATTATTCAGCGGCACGTCACAGCGGATTTCTCGTGCCATGGTTCCGGCACCAGTTGCATCACCGCCCGCTCAGCCAGCTAGAGTAAGGGCTAGGGAGCTAGAGGTAGAGGTCAGACCGCTAGAGGTGGAGGTCAGACCGCTAGAGGTAGAGGCCATCCAGCAGGAGCTCATCCTAGATATGTAGTTTAGAGTAGTGGGGTCCAGCCCCGATGCTATGCCTTTCCAGCCAGGCTTGAGGCTGAGTCATCTGACGCGGTTATTACAGGTACGATTTCAGTTTGCAGTAGAGATGCCTCAGTTCTATTTGATCCGGTTTCCACTTATTCATATGTGCCGTCCTATTCTGCTTCATATGTGGTTATGCCTCGTGATTCTTTGAGTGCCCTTGTGTATGTGTCCACACCTGTGGGAGATTCTATTATGGTAGATCGTGTCTATCGTTCGTGTGTTGTTAATATTGGGGCTCTTGAGACTAGTGTAGATATCCTACTTCTCGATATGGTTGATTTTGATATCACTCTAAGGATGGAATGGTTGTCATCTTATCATGCTATATTGGACTATCACGCCAAGATAGTGACCTTAGCCTTGCCGAGGTTGCCTCGATTAGAGTGTAGAGGGACTCCTGGTCATTCTACCCACAGGGTTATTTCCTATGTGAAGGCTCGACGTATGGTCGAGAAAGGTTGTCTAGCTTATTTGGCTTACGTCCGCGATTCTAGTACGGAGGTTCCTTCCATGGATTCTGTACCAGTTATTCGAGAGTTTCCAGAGGTATTTCTTGCAGACCTGTTGGGGATGCCACCAGACAGGGATATTGACTTCTGTATTGATTTGCCTCCGGGCACTCAGCCCATTTCTATTCCTCCATACCGTGTGGCCCTTCCAGAGTTGAAAGAATTGAAGGAGCAGTTGCAAGATTTGCTTGATAAGGGCTTCATTAGACCTAGTGTCTCGCCCTGGGGTGCGCCTGTGTTGTTTGTGAAGAAGAAGGATGGAACGATGAGGATGTGCATAGATTATCGGTAGTTGAACAAAGTCACTATCATGAACAAGTATCCATTGTTGGGGATTGATGAATTATTTGATCACCTTCAGGGTGCCAAGGTGTTTTCGAAGATTGACTTGAGGTTTGGTTACCATCAATTGAGGACTAGGGCATACGATGTCCCTAAGATAGCTTTTCGGACTCGGTACGACCATTATGCATTTCTAGTGATGTTTTATTTGGGCTGACAAATGCCCCATCAACATTTATGGATTTGATGAACCAGGTGTTCAAGCCCTATTTGGATTCCTTTGTGATTGTGTTTATTGATGATATCTGGATCTACTTTCACAGTCGAGAGGAGCATGAGCAGCATCTTTAGATAATTCTTCAGACCCTGAGAGACAGCCAGTTATATGCTATGTTTTCAAAATGCGAGTTTTGGTTGAGCTCAGTCTCTTTCAGGTGGGTCCTAAGAAGATTGAGGCAATTCAGAACTGGCATAGACCCACTTCAGCTATAGAGATCTGGAGTTTCTTAGGATTGGCAGGTTATTACCGTCAGTTAGTGGAGGGGTTTTCATTTATAGCAGCCCCGTTGACCGATTGACCCCGAATGGTGCCCCGTTCAGATGGTCAAACGAGTGTGAGGCGAGCTTTCAGAAGCTCAAGACTGCTTTGACTATGGTGCCAGTGTTGGTGTTGCCCACAGGTTCAAGGCCTTATACAGTATATTGTGAT